GGGTCTCCACGCGGCTGCTCCAGCACCCGGGGCTGCATGGGGGTAGGTCCATGTGGCTTCTCCTCAGGAAGTGAGCTTTGCCAGCTGAGTCAAAGAACTGGCTAAGGCAGCCGTGACTAGTCCGACCATCAGAGAGCAGGAGACAAGACAGGTGAGGCTCTCTGAGCCATTTATCTCTCTGCCCTTCAATTAAACTACCCTTCGATGAATCCCACCTGTGTTCATTGGCCAGGTTGGCACAATAACCCTTAACTCTCGCACTGGGTAAAGTGGAGGGACGGGACGAAGAGGACGGCCCTCTGTGAGAAGGGTGGACAGAGCGGCTCCAGCAATGGGTTCAGACGTAGAACAATGGTGAGTTGGCGCAGGACCGGGCAGGGTTTCATTCTGCACCGAACAACAACATCCTCAACAGTCCCCCTAAAGTGGAACCCCTTCTTTAGAGGCAGGGCCCCGGATGGCCTCTGAGGCAGTTGGGACAGCGAAGTTTGGCTCCCTCTCGCAGAAGCTGCAGAGCACGGCTCTTGTGGGAGGTGAGCAGGCCCTGGGCTCCAGTTGCCCGGCCTCAACCGGCCTCACCCATCCACTTGTGGTTCTCACCACCAAGTGGTCCCAAGTGGAGATGCAACTCCAAATCCTTCTTTGGGCTGGAGCCCTGCCAAGAGGCCTTGGCAGAAGAGAGACCCCAAAAGCCTCCGGCCCCGCAGGAGAGAACAACAGGAGGGCGGGTGGCTTTGTTCGGGTTTATACCTGACGGGCGGGCGGCCTGGCGTTGAATTTTTTCGTAAAACCGCCTCCATTAATTTTGAAGGTGACAGCTGCAGTCATCCGCCCCAAATCCTCGCCAAACATATTAAAGCTGAGCGGCGTAATAATGCAGGCCTCCCCGGATAGGCAGAAGCCAGTGTAAATGAAACACGCAGCGGAACGAGGGCTCTGCAGCTCATTTTGTCATTTAATTGAGCAATGTCTCTGGTTGTTAGTGGCAATATCGGACACTTTAGATTGATATGTTGCAAAGGCAGGGTGTTTAAGGCGAAAGCTAATTCCTACTGTGATTACCCTTCTGTTCCTGAGGCCCCTTATTAGCGTGCTTTGTGTAAAATTCATTAGCAGTCATTGCTTGATCTCTAAATAAATAAGTTGTTTAAATTGTGAGGAGGCCAAAAAAGGAGGGGAGGGCTGATTATGTAAATGGATTGGGCTGTCGATATTTCACTTCCAGATTCTTTCTCTGTGGTGACGGAATCGGTCCCCATAAGTGCGGCGGGGTGCTGAGTGAGCAGTGCCCCTCGGCTCAGTGGGGTGAGAGGGTGCAGGGGCGTCCCCGGGAAAGAGAAGAACCGGGCAGGGTCTCCTGAGGAACCATACCTGGTCTGGTTTTCTCCCAGCATCTCAGACATCAGAAGCCAGATAACCCAGTCGCTTCTGGGAAACCCGTTCTGAGACAGAGCAAGCTACATAAGTAACCCATTGCTGTTGAGCGTGCCCCCCAACCTCAGCCCCGCAAAAACTCTCCGCACTGACTGCCTTCGAGCCAATTCTAAGTCATAATGACCCTAGAGCACAGGTGGAACTACCCCTGTGGGTTGCTAAGACTCTAACTCTTTACAGGAGTAGAAAGCCTCATCTTTCCTCCTCAGAGTGGCTGGTGGTTTCGAACTGCTGACCTTGCTACAGAGACGGGTCATTCAGTTCATGATGATCTGGGTCTTCTACTGCTCTTGGACTCAGTTTTACTCCTTGTCCCCCCTCTCCTGCTATGCCTCCTTCCTGTGGCCCACCTTGCCCCCATCCTCCAGATCCCCCCGCCCCGCCGCGGCGGTTAAGATACAGCAAGTGTTGCAGGAGACATCTGGGGACATCTCCACACTTGGGCTGTGTGTGCTGGAAACAGTCACTCAGCCTCCTCAGCTCCAACACTAGGGTACTGAGGATACCTGCTCTTGGGGGAGAGGGGGTGCAGGGGGCAGATGTCTGGGTCTGAGCAGCAGGGAGCCCCGATGCCTGATGGGACCTGGGGTGTGGCCACCATTATCCTGCTGGGCCTCATCCGGTCAGATTCATCTATTTGCCACAGTGGCTCTAAGAAGCAAGCTGACAGTGCTTTCCATGAAGGAAGGGCTGCCAGGCCAGACTAGCTGCTCGCCTCCTCTCCCTGCCATTGTGGGCCAGGGGCAGCAGACAGGGACAAGGAGAGAGGGACACTCCAATCCAAAATGGCCAAGGTTAGCTGCCAAGGGCAGCTCTGATTCCCGCCCCTACCCCCAACCTACTCACTAACTGCCCCTGTTGACTTGTGGAGCCTGGCCCTTCATCCGCATCACAGACACTCAGACCTACTACGTGAGCGCGCGCCGATGCAGACTCCCAGTGACCTCAACATGAGTCCGCCTCACGCGAGGTCTTCCGGCCGCGTCTGTAGAGAACCCAGGACCCTCCAAGACTTAAGAAAAAAGCCAGGGTTATGTGTTTAAAACAGCTTTCATTTGCTTTTTCCCTCTGATTATTCTAGAAGACATACAGAAAACCTAGAAAATGGGAAACTACAAAAATAAAGGCACTTACAATCCCTCAGGTTAAAGATTCTGATGGTTACATACTGGAATGTTTCCCTTTCGGCTTTATTTTTGCCAGAGTGTGAATTCTGAAGATCAGATGAGTTTTGTTCGAAGAACTGTGAAGACTGAATTAACAACAGTCATTACAATAACGAGCATTGCTTACTGAAAGGAGCCCTGGTGGGGCTGTGGGATAAGCGTTGGCTGCTAACTTCAAGGTCAACAGTCCGAAGCCACCAGTCACACCCCAGGAGGGAGACGAGGCTGCCTGCTCCCATAAGGATGTGCAGTCTCAGAATTTGGGGTTGACCCCATCCGAAGTGCCAGATGCCTTTATGAATGTTTTATGCATTGTCCTATTTACTCCTCAGATACGTTCATGAGATTTAGTTGTTATTATCATCCCACTCTGCAGGAGACAAGGGATGTTAGAGAGTTGGGAGGTAAGTTCTCGATTACCTGCATCAGGAAGCAGTGCCAAGACACAGGTCACAGAATGGCGGTCAGAGGCCACGGTCATGGTGCTCGGCACGCAGGAGCTGCCTGGCTCTGGCTCTGGAGTACTGCTTCACCACACTGAGCCCCTTCGTGATGGTGTGGCATGGATCTACATCTCCTGGGAACAACTCTGAGGGGACCTGGTGATGCCAGAGGTTGGATGCCAGATCGCTAACCAAAAGGCCAGCAGTTTGAACCCACCAGCCACTCTACAGAAGAAAGAGGAGGCTGTGTGCTCCCGGACAGTTCTACAGTTTGGGGAGACAGGAAGTCCAGGAGCCAGGGAGGAGTGAACTGTGTGGGTTGTGGATCGGTAGTTTAGACTGTGGAGCATAGCGTTGGTGGTCTGAAATGTAAGTTGCAAGAAAAAAAGATTAAATGGGAGATCTGATGACTTGGTACAAGACTTGGCACCTAGCACAAAATCAATAAAAGTTAGTTTTTATTATCACTGAAAAATGAAAGTTTCACAGAACACCGCAAGGTCAATTGGCACAGCATAATTCACAAAGACAATGTTGGACGTCTGCGTTCGTGAGAAGCACCTGGAGTCTGAAAAGCTGGAGAAGAGCCTTCTAAGGTCCAACGATCCCGTCTCCATCTGGGGGATGAAGACCGAGGAACATCGCAGACACAGAACCATCTAGTCCCCTGGACAATCGTCTCCACCACTCGGAGACCAGAACCAGGTGGTCCAGTACCTATTGGCAGGTCCTGGAAAGAGTGAGAGAGAATGTGGCACAAAAGTCCAAATCATGAAGGAGGCCCGCTGGCTGGGGAGAGATTGGGGAGACACCCTTCCCACCCCAAAACAACCAAAGTGTGGCTCATAGTCACCCTTCACGTCTGGCCCCGAACTCACCCTGTGTTAGCATGATCAACCAGTTAGGCCCCAAAGGGCAGCATTTCCCCAAGGGCAGAGCTTACAGGAGAAGCAAGGCCGGGAACAGACATGGGTGAGCAAGGGCACCCTGAGGAGCTGCCGTACGCTGGGTACGCTGGAGCAAACTGCGTCTGGTTGGCTGCACGTGAAACTGCTCATCTACATGAAAGGAAAAAAAGAGATTTATGGCCGATAAAATACAACCGGAAGCAGCTTGTAACTCCTTTTCCCTCTGGGGGCCTCTGCAGAAGGAGCAGCCGACAAAATGACCTTCCATCCTTTGGTGGCTTCGGACCAGAGGAGAAACCGGAAAAGGCACTTGCAAGCACCTTCCCACCTTCGTGAGAAGATGATGTCTTCCCGTCTTTCGAGGGAACTGAGACAGAAATACAATGTTCGGTCCCTGCCCATCCCTCCATGGGGATGCCGAAGTCCAGGTTGTGCGAGGACACTACAAATGTCAGCCAATTGGCAAAGGGGTGCGGGTTTACACGAAGAAATACGTCGCCTACCTTGAATGTGTGCAGCGAGGTCAAGCTAATGGCACAACTGCCCATGTGGGCCTTCGCCCTGCCAGGGGGGTTCTGCGAGGCTCCAACCGGACAGAAACTGTAAACAGATCCTCAAACAGAAAGCCAAAGCTCGCCTAGCAGGAAAGGACCAGGGCAAACAGGAAGATTCCCTCGAGACAACGCAAGAGTAAGTCTCGTGCACAGCTTCCATTAAAACCGGCGCACTTGAAGAAGAAGAAGGAAAACAGACTGGGCCTTGGAAACCCAGTGAAGCAGCTCAGTGGTTTGGTCAGGGGGATTTTCTGGAAACAGCTCCAGACTCATAGGGGTTAGAAGAACAGCCGGGGAGAGGCAGCTGGGGCACTCTCAGAGGGCTAGTCCCCCCACCACCACCAATGGCGCAGTAGCGGTGAAAGGTGGTCATCATGTGTGGGGCCCCGGGAGGCAGGAGCTCTTAGCCCTGGGGACTTGTAGACTGGGTGGTCCTTCCAATCCAAGGTCAGGGAATTGCCCGGCCTTCTACTTAGGGGACATTCCACACTGACAGGGGGGACAAGGTTCCCAGTGACATGGGAGACTGCCCAGACCAAAGACCAGCTATCGAGTAGAAACGAACGTGCCACATTCCATCAAATCCAAGATGCCACGAACTCTAAGATGTATCGCCTTATTCCTCCCGAGAGGAAAAGCAGGGGTGTGAGGGTGCTGCGGGCCGGGCCGGGCTTCATTGCGCTGTGCTTCAGATCACTGCGAGTCGGATCCCACACCACACCACACCACACCACACCACACCACACCACACCACGCCACGCCACGGATCAAAGAGAAGCAAAGGAGCGCTGATGGTGCGGTGGTTAAAGTGCTCAACCACTACCGGAACCCAGCAGCCACTGCGAGGGAGCAGGATGTGGCAGTGTACTTCCACAAGGTGACAGTGTGGGGAACCCCACGGGGTCACTCAGAGTCAGAATGGACTGGAGGCCAGCAGGTTAAGAAGGAAAGACACTCACAGACTGCACCGGCTGTCGGCTGTGGGACTGCTGATTTCAGAGAGGCCACAGGGCCTTCCTAATACGTAGGGTTTAAAGGCAATGAACTCTGATTGTGATCACTCATTGTTGAGACGCTGAGGAGACTGGTATGGAGGAGGAGTGGGATTGGGATGAGCCCAATCATGGAATACTTCCTGGAGGAGGAGAGGAGGACTGGGGGGAGTGGACGAGGCCCAAGCCTGGAAGCAAGGTCGGGGCATGCTGGTGGGTGTACAAGGGCAGGAAAGCAGCCCCACCCACAGGCTGTGTCCCTCTCTGCTGCCCCTGCAGGTGCCAAGAGGAGTGCCGCTTCGGGACCTTCGGCTTCCAGTGCTCGCAGCACTGTGACTGCCACAACGGCGGGCAGTGCTCCCCCACCTCGGGGGCCTGCGAGTGTGCGGCTGGCTACAAGGGCCCCCACTGCCAAGAGCGACTATGCCCGGAAGGCCTGCACGGCACAGGCTGCACCCTGCCTTGCCTCTGTGATGCTGACAACACCATCAGGTACGAGATGCGGCAGCACAGGTGGGCACTGACTGACAGAGAGGGGGCTTCTCAGGCCACCACCCCCCACCTCCAGCCCAGCCCAGCAGCATGGCCACCCAGGTAGAGATGAGAGGCCATCAGCTCACGAACCACTTGGGTGAACAGAATGGGGAAGCTGAGGCCACACAGCCAGAGCCGGGACTAGGGCCAGAGCTGCTCTGCCCACTACTCCGGGCTTCCGAAATGCAGCTGGCCTGCAACCACCTAGAGGGGCCAGGGGTGCCCAGGGTCTCCCGGGG